AGCTGTGTGTGTGTTTATGAGTGAGAGGAACAGATGCAGGGGCTTTGCTCTTGTTTTTGTCCTTTGCAAATATGCTTTTAGATTCAACCGCTGCAACATGACATGAAATTACGGGTAATTGCTGTTGTTTATTGGCTGTAGTGATGGCTGCGTTTACACCGTGTCCTTGTGTAGCCCAAAGTGCTTGATAATTGGAGCTCTTTGACAACACGAGGGCTGAGACGACACTATCCCAGAGACACTGCCAGCACATGACTGCTCTCCATACTACACAACTCACAATCATCTCTTATGATTCCTCTAACACAAACCTTCTGCAGATATACTTTTATATCAGTCACTGGATTTACCAGCGAAGATGACAATTAATTCAAATGACACAAAAACAATTTCACAGATCGTGCACGGATCAGGAAAGCATAACTGTATATGTTCCCCAGAGTAAGACGGTCATTCATGCATGTCTTAACATACTGGACAAAATTACAATATCAATTTAAAATTTAATTCAATTCAGTTAGTTGTCACACTATAGCGCATAATTGAACATGGAGGTGAATTTGAAATAATCTCTCCACTTAGTTTGAGCCGATATTGCCATTGCTGCCACACCAAATATCTGGAAATATACTGATTAAATAATACATTTCCATATAGTGCTTATATTTTTAAATATATTTCATGTATATGGATACATATAATACATATATAGCAATGAAGACAAGAGATATTGTTTGGGTTTACATAAAACTGAACAAATATGATCTCACCATTGTTTGTACACATTTGATATATGAAAATGTCTGTGAAATTAAAAAAAAAATTATTGAACAACGTTCTGAAAACATATTAAAAAGTTTTGGATTTTTGGACAATTGGATGTCTTGTAAAGTCATGGCAACATGGTGGGTGGAAAATGAGATTTGACATTTATAACTTAATTCATGGAGTGCTATAAAATTACTTATATGACAATATATATAAGTAAATATATTGTCACAATTTTTCCAGTATTTGTAAAGTGGCAGTTCCTTTTATTATTATTATTATTATTATTATTATTATTAATGAATGTATTGGAACTGGAACCATTTTAGACAAAAAGGTACTATTTTTTTTATTTTTGTATTTTTGTATTTTTTTTACAGCATTTTTTACAGAACATGTTGCCAGATCCTGGTGGTGTTCTCACTTGAATATGATAAATACAAAAAGATTAACTGGATTATAAAGTGATAAACTCTGAGTTTTAGGGGGGTGTGTTTGCGAGTGTGAGTGTGAGTCTTCATTCACTAACAAACCCCTAATTCATCAATATCGTTATTAATTCATAAATAACCCGACAGGTTGTTGTAAATATCGTTGGGAACAGATATGTCATTTGCATCATGCAAAGTTGTTTAAATGAATTTAACAGCCTAAGAAGATTTTGCAAATATAAACTAAAATATTACTTTCAGTAAGTTTTGAATTGAATTAATGTCTTTATTTAAATCAGTGGTGCATCAGTATTATGAATGGATCTGATGAATTTAGGGATGTTTTGTGATGTTAGTTGGTTTGTTTTTCTCTAAAACATCTATGCTATTTGATCAAATGACACAAATCAGACTGATAAGATCATAATTTCAGAAGATGTTGAAAATATGAAAATTATCTTCAGGTAAACAAACCCTCAGTCCCTCACTGACTTCTCATTTTCAAGTGATAATTTGAAATGATAATGTTTTTTAATGACTAAAGTTGAAATGCTGTAAGTATTTATAAAAACACTTCTTCAGCCGTACTGTCCTGAGTTCAGCAGGTGCGATGCTCTGGTGTCGATGTGCTCCAGATGGCCACATTTCTGCCAATTTGTCTGCTAAGCGTCAGCAGCTGCTGATCAGCTTCAATCAATGACGGTTAGTGTGTCATTTGCACGTCTAAATCAGCTCATTTATTTGCCTAATACGATGCTTTGCCTGTTAGACAGCTCTGAAGCGATCCGATTTGCCCATCTGTCCTCAGGTGTGCGTCTGCGCCGGGAAATCTTCCTCAGATTGAGGCCCTCGCATATAATCAACCAGCAGGATTCAGGAACACACAAGTCATCTCCAGAAAGGCCGAAACAATTATTTACCTATAAGTTCACCGAGGCCTCTGCTTTTCCTTTATTAAGTGCTGGATGATTTGTTATGTAATAATCCGACCTTTCCGTCTGATGGTTTATTGACTGCCAAAACGTCTCAGAAAATATGCCAGCCAGAAAAATGGAAACTGGCAGTGTTTATCAACAATCAGCGTACGGACTCATTGTCTCGGTTCTGTGAAGGAGAATGACTTAATGTGCGTGAGTTTGCCTACCGTTCATTTACTACAGTAGTTTAACAGTACAGCTACTCCGGCCCAAACGCTCAAACGTGTCTTATTCACTAAGCACCCGCATTTAACAGTATCTAAATGAATTTGTTCCAAACTGTGTCACTCTTTGACACAGTGAACATGATTTCACACGCTTCAAATGTTTTTTATTTTTTTATTTGTAGATTACAAAAATGTCCACGAATTGGAAAAAAGACCAAAATGTGTTAAAACCAGAGTAATATGATTTAGAAATCACTACTATACTTGCTTCAGAATAACATCGTGATAAAAGATTGGTGAAATAAGTGATTAGTGGCCAACTATGGTGATTTCCATCTTTAAAAATTATGAGTTTAATAATTATAAATAAAATAAACAAATAATTATTAAGACAAATAATAATGAAAATGGTGCTATTTTTGAATTGTATTTTTTTCTGTTTTATTTTAAGGTTTTGTTTTGATTATATCAGCATAATAATTTGAGTGAAAACTTAATGACGTATCAACCGAATTAAATGTATGAATGTTTAAGTGGTAATTTTTCTAAACAGATACAGGTGTATTTGAGTAATTGCTGTGCAGCATGATATCTGCTGAAAAGACTGGCTTAGTTTCCGTGTGAGGACAGGCAGGTTTATGCTGGTTAGAGCTGGTTTATCTGCTGGAGCATTGCTGCTGATCACAACTGGTCTTTCTGGTGATGTTGATGACTTACCTGGAAATAAAGATTGCTGTGTAACACCATCATGAGCAAGAACACTTACTGTCAAAGCATGTGCAGATCGACATGTTCTCTAACCAAACTGATTTAAGGGTAAAAATGTAATTGATGTTCAACAAATAAAAAACAGACGTAATAAAGATAAACAAATGATAAAGCTTGGCTTACTGAATATTAGATCCCTTTCAACGAAAGCACTTTTTGTAAATGATATGATCACTGATCATAACCTAGATGTGCTCTGTTTGACAGAAACCTGGCTAAAACCAGATGATTACATTACTTTAAACGGGTCTACCCCTCAAGATTACTGTTATAAACATGAGCCGCGTCTGAAAGGTAAAGGGGGAGGTGTTGCTAAAATTTATAGCAACATCTTCAGTATTTCTCAGAGGTCGGGCTTCAAGTATAACTTGTTTGAAGTAATGGTGCTTCATATAACATTATCCAGAGAAGCACATGTTAATGATAGATCCCCTGTGATGTTTGTACTGGCTACTGTATACAGGCCACCAGGGCACCATACAGAATTTATCCAAGAATGTGCTGATTTTATATCCGAGTTAGTGCTGGCTGCAGATAAAGTTTTAATTGTTGGTGATTTTAATATCCATGTTGATAATGAAAAGATGCATTGGGATCAGCATTCATAGACATTCTGAACTCTATTGGGGTTAGACAACACGTCTCAGGACCTACTCATTGTCGAAATCATACTCTAGATTTAATACTGTCACATGGAATTGATATTGACGGTGTTGAAATTCTGCAGCAGAGCGAGGATATCACTGATCATTATCTAGTCTTGTGCAAACTCCATATAGCTAAAGCTACAAATTCAACTCCTTGTTACAGATATATGCTTCATAATAGCACTTGTCTGGTCTGAATCAGGAGAGAAATCTGCAAAGATCAAGCAGCGTTTAAACAGCTCTAAACTAATATGTGGTTCTCCAGATGTTAACTGATGGACTGGATTGCTGTGGATTACTTGTGGATTATTGGGGTGTTTTTATCAGCTGTTTGGACTCTCATTCTGACGGCACCCATTCACTGCAGAGCATCCATTGCTGAGACACTGATGCAATGCTACATTTCTCCAAACCTGATGAAGAAACAAACTCGTCCTGATATTGGATGATCTGAGGGTGACCTATTCCTTTAATATGGAGAAAACAAAGTTTTAGTTTGAACTTTGTGAACAGTATTGACAATATTTTGGATTCAATACAAGTTAAAAAATATTGACAGCATCTGTGACATGCTGTTGATTGCCTTGAACAGAAACAAGCAAAAATCATGTTGAAAGTAATGATCTTTTAATAGAAGTCTGTGGGGCAAGACACAGTTTTCCTTTCAGCTCCTGTCATGACCATGAAACGCTGGTAAACCTGGTAACGTTTGCATGGAATTACTTCTGTGTCTGTTTGCACGTTTTTACAGACTGATTGAAATGATTTGCTGTGGTCATTCACACAGACACTGTTGGCAGAACAGGTTCTGAATTTGTTATATTGCTTCACAACATACGACATATAGATTAGGAGACCAATGTGCTTGAGGTTTTAATTTTTTTTACAGATTACAGACTGTTTATGGACTGTTTATGCAGTAGAATAAAATATCCTAAGATGAATTAGTTTGAGTAGAAACTGGACACTGGTTTTATCCACATCATTGCCTCTTGTTTTGAGATATTGTAATATGACCCCACCATTAAAACCAGCTCTTCTCTTCCACAAATATTGACCCCAACAATATGCAAAGTGCATTACTGTTATTTAAAAAACAATCAAATTCATTTTTATTTCATAAACACTTTTTATTGACATTTCAGAAGTTGACAAATTTCAGCAGGCACTGAAATCATTAAATTTAAAGACTTCAAATATTCATAATAAACTTTCATGTAAATAAAACTCTGACTCTAATACAGCTGTAGATGACAACATTCAGTGCGACAGAAATCTTATAAATGCTGCTGTGTTTTATTGGTTTGGAAGGTTAACCGCTGCGTGGATTAAACGCGAAGATGTTTGCAAACACTATAATCACTGCATGCTGTTTCCTACAGATTGATTTTCTGCAGTTCTGCAAACATGTAGTGACCAACGGTTAAACCTTCGTGCGACCTAAAGTCTTGGATGAGGATATCTCTTATGCATCATATGATCGATACTGAAAGCATGAAAATGAAAGAGTTGTGTTGTGATCAATTGAACTTGTTCAGTCGTAAATGCATTTGCACTTCTCAGACACAGAGAGGATAGATTTATATATTTTTTGCAATAGCACTATTTACACGTCTCTAAACATTAGTGTTGCTAAAGATGTCTTTTGACACGTCAACCACATTTATCAATAAGGCTCCGTTGAACTCTGACCACAAACAGAAGATATATAATAAATAAACAAACAAACAGTCAGTGAGGACAACATCAGCCATCATAACAGTCATCGTATACTGAGAGTAAAACTGATACTGACACACTGTGATCCAAGTCACGAAACAGCCACATGTTCGATTATGCAAGAAAGAAACAACTAGTAATACGCTTCTGTCGGCGCTCCAGTCCTCGTGTGCCATCATCTTCATCTTCATCATCATCACCTCAAACCACCAGCCAGTGATGAAGCTGTGAGAAACAAATCATATTCATACAGCGCTCTTCACAACACAAGCCGAAAATAATCACTGAATAAATCACTGACGACTTCAACATCAGTGAAGCCAGAACAATCACACCATATCTGCGCCGAGGATCGACTGTGATAACGGTGCAGTAAAATGTCACGTTTAGCATAATTGAAAGTTCACCCATTAAATTTATGTAATCTTCCTTGTTCGGCCGTACACATGAAAGCACCCATGATGCTCACCGTGAACTGTCGCACCTCTCCACGCTCCACCAGGTGATGTTCAGTCTCAGGAGTGATGGCGTACGCCAGTTTCTGCCGAGATAATCCAGCAGCACATTCACACAGAAACAACAAGACAAACGCAGGGACATCACTATAACCAAAGCCATCATGCATGCAGTATGATTTCTGTGCAGTGATGAATGTTTAACCCTTGTGCTGTGCTGAAATGTGATCTTCCTGGTCAAAAAATGATGCGGAAACACTTTATTTTAAGGAAAAATTCTCACTGCAAATTACTACTGTAGCACACTGGATGTTTATTAGTACTTATAAAGCACATATTAATGCCTGATTCTGCATGACCATATTTTAGACCCCTTAATGCTTAAACCCCATACCTAATACCTTACTGACTATTAATAAGCAGCAATTTAGGAGTTTGTTGAGGCAAAAGTCATAGTCAATAGTGAGAACTGGACCTTAAAATAAAGTGTGACCAAAATTGCTTGTAAATATCTCATTGTTATTTTATCATTGATCTGAGCTTATGCACCTCAGTTTTTGAGTGAAGATTGGCAAAATTGTCCACAAATAAGTTTTTTTTTTTTTTTTTTTCACTCATAAGCTCAGATCAATGATCAATCAGCTCCAAAAAGAAATACAAAACCCGTGCTTATTGCAAGAAAACAAGTTGACAAAAAGATTGAATTCAAAATCCCCAAACGTACACAACTTATCTTCTTTTTTTTGGGGGGGGGGTGTTATACCATGTGTGAGCAAAGTCAATAAGTTTTAGTCCTATGCAATGCAATATTATTGTTCAGTGATATTATTGATTCAACGGCACTGACACTATTGGATGAGAATGAAATTTGAACTGAATTGATCTGAATAATGACACTATTGTCGTCTGTAGAGCTGCTTAAAGCTGCTTTATTACTGTGAAGCTGCTTCAAAACAGCGTTTGTATAAAGCGCTATAGAAGTTCATGTGGCTTGACTTAATTCATCTTGATAAAGTGTTTTGCATATTGACGAATATGAAATACTCACGTCACAGAAGCTTCCGGGCAGCGAGCAGAACTTGTAGATGGCGTAGAGCGGCACCATGATCATGGAGGAGATGGACAAACACCAGCCCAGCATCGTCGCCCACGTGGGGAAATAATACGAGCCGTACTTCGGAGGATTGAACGTCGCGAAACTCACAACAACCATGAACTGAGTGCAGGCGAGAGAAAACAGGCACGGGTTAATGGTATCTGAAGGAGATTGGTGATATGTGTGTAGTGTTGGACAGAGAGACTGTGAACGCACCAGGAGAAAACACGGACTGACAAACTTCCAGCACAGTCTCCAGTAGAGGCCGGGTCTCTGTCCGATCATCTCCTGGATATCATCGCTGAAGCGATCCACACCTGAACACACACATGCTGGTCAGCAGCAAGAAAATGCAGAGCCACTTATTTGTCTTCTGCTCTTCAAAGAATTCAAACTCTGAATTATATGTATCGATGTTGTTGGTGAATTGATACCACAAAAATTCCAGCACACCAGTAGAGGCCGGGTCTCTGTCCGATCATCTCCTGGATATCATCGCTGAAGCGATCCACACCTGAACACACACATGCTGGTCAGCAGCAAGAAAATGCAGAGCCACTTATTTGTCTTCTGCTCTTCAAAGAATTCAAACTCTGAATTATATGTATCGATGTTGTTGGTGAATTGATACCACAAAAATCAAATATGTTATTGCAGCTGTGAGGATGGACTATAATAGCAGGTATGAATTATAAAATGTTTTACTAAATTGGAAACTGACTGTTTAAAATTACATTTGTTTTTCATCAAAATCTTTGATTGAAGACATCTTCTATATATCAGCCGATGTGTTTAACCAATTTCAAATATTTAAAAAGCAACAGGTGTTATAATGGATTCATATAACTCATTTTTCAAGTGTTACAATTGTCCAACCACTGTAACAACAACTGTAACACTTTGGAACCTTGTGATGTCTGAGCTGTCCTTTCTCAGAAGTCTAGTTCAGTGTCTGAGAGACTGTTTAAATGTTTTAGAAAGAAGTCTCTTCTGCTCGTCAAGGCTGCATTTATTTAATAAAAAATACAGTAAAAAAAATGTGAAATATCATTATAATTTAAAATAATGGATTTCAATTTAAATATACTGTATGTTAAACTGTAATGTATTTCTGTGATGCGCAGCTGTATTTTCAGCATCATTACTCCAGTCTTCAGTGTCACATGATCTTCAGAAATCATTCTAATATGCTGATTTGCTGCTCGAGAAACATTTCTGATTATTATCAATGTTGAAAACAGTTGTGCTGCTCAATATTTTTTGTGGAAACCGTGATACATTTTATTTTTCAGGATTCACAGATGAATAGAAAGTTCAAAAGAACTGCATCTGTTTGAAATATAAATCTTTTTGCAACATTATAAATGTCACTTTTTATAAATTTAATGCATCCTTGATGAATAGAAGTGTTAATTTCTTTTAAAAAAAACAAATAATTTTTGAACTGTAGTGGCCAGTATAAATATTTATCACGGTATATCAAAACTGGCATGTAGATTTGTAGTAGCCGCAGTGTTATGAAGGAAAACAATAAATATCACAGCTTCCCCCTGGAGTCCCTTCTTCTTAAACGCACTTGAACAAACAACATATTTTAACATGTGAATATGGCAATACTGACAAAGTGACAGCATTAAGCCATGCTCCACATGAAACAATATCACTTTGAGTTTTGATGAAAAAGACAGAATCCTTGGAAGCAGATGCCCTGTAGAGCAGATCTCAGTGACGTCTGATCGCAGCAGACAGCGAAAGCAGAGCTCAGGGCCAAAGGCGCAGGTAAAGCAGCCTCCAGAAAGGCCAGTGGGGCCCGGGGCCCGTGTGTCTCGCAGCCTGTGACCCGCACAGGTCAAACGCTCTGACGGTCCTGAGCTCACCGAGTCACGCAGAAGATCAGGTCTTCAGGAATCGCTCGCTGCCTCGGGTCTGTTTGCAAAGTTCACATCCCTGCGACCGCATGCCAGATCGCCGAAGGCAAAGAAATGGCTCGTCCAGGAGAAAGTCAATGCGTGAATTACACGGAAACATTTGAGGAGAATTTCTAACCGAATATACACAGTATACACACATCTATATTATGTAAACAAAAACTTTTATTTTGGATGCGATTAATCGCGATTAATCGTTTGACAGCACTAGTTATTTAATTTTTTATATTAGTGTCAAAAACTTTTGTCAAATATATTTTGCCTTTTCCCCATGTCTCACACACTTTTGGGCTGAATTGTGTTTTCATCTGCAAGTAAAAGCAAATTAAAACGCAATTAAAATTAATTAATTTTGTTTTAAAACTTTTCAGAGTAATACTGATGTTGTTTTGTTAGAAATAAATATGTAAATATGTTTTGTTGTTTTTACAAGTCATTGTATTTTAAAGTTAGTTTTTCAGTTTGTATTATTATTATTATTATTTTTTTTTTTCAATTTTAGTTTGAGTTATTTTAGCGCATCAAATTAAACTAAATGAAAATAAGAAACATTTTCTTTGCTAGATCAAAACTAGATCAAAATGGACAATCTGGAGTTAGAATCGAATGCCAGATTGATAGGTGTTTGTGTGAAGAGCGTTCCTCGGCTGATATCCGAGCTCTGGGAGCCTAATGAGCGCCAGCGGCCCCGGAGCACAGCCGTCTGATAGACCATCAGCTCCTAATGCCACATCAGCTTCACCACACATGCTGGAGCAGCACTCCTCCTCACCGTAGAACCAGGCGATGCCGACGGCCTCAATCAGCACTCCAAACAGAATCGATGTCCCGGCGGCGAAGTGGTCCAACAGCGTGAACACATAGATGCCCCCCTGCAGAGAGACAGAGAGACGAGACCGGATCAAGACCCCACACGAGACACTCTTCATAATCAGATGGAAAGCTCATTAGAGGAGCATTGTGTCTCACGTACGTTTGTGACACAGATGAGAGAGATGAGGAACGTGGAGACCACGATGAAGAGCGTGAAGAGCTCACGATGTTTGTGCAGGAACTTGAATTCGTCGATGAGTCCCGTGATCACAGACTCCATCCCTCCCATCTGAAAAACAGCGTTCAGATGCAGTTACAGCGCTGGCGTTCATCAGGACTGAGCTTCCAGGCATCATTTACAGCACTGACCCTCATAAACCCACACGGGTCCATTTTGACCCGGAAGAGATACATAAAAAAAAAAAAAGATTAGTTTTTAGCAAGGGAACAAACCTTAGAACGAAATAACTGTTAAAATATATTTAGGAGATATAACCATTTGAATGAATGAATGAACAATCAAACAAACAATGTTTTGTGTTCAGGTAATTTTGGACCCAGAATGTATGGAGTACCATTAGGCGCCAAAAAATACTTAGGTATATTAGTGTCAAAAACTTTTGTCTAATATATCTAACACACTTTTGGGCTGAATTGTGTTGATAAACATGGATATGTCACCTATTGACGAACCATTGCAGCATGAAAAACTGATCACTTTTTTCATCTGCAAGTAAAAGCAAATTAAAAAGCAAGTAAAATTAATTTATTTTGTTTGAAAACTTTTAAGAGTAATATTGATGTTGTGCTGATGTTGTTTGGTTAGAAATAAATATGTAAACTGTAAAAAATGACCATGATTTTAACGGTAAAAGACTGTAAAAATGATACATTAAAGACCTGTTAAATGGTTAACGGTAAGTTCCCCTACTATATACGGTGAAAAACTGTATTGGACATTACATGTAATGTTACAGCAGTATACCGTTTTTGGAAGTGAAAAAGAACATATACTTTACAATGAATAACCGTAAATTGGCATTCCCAGAATTGACTGGGTTACATTTCAAATTTTGTTTTTTCATTGAAATAATTGTTTCTTCTTATTTTTTTCTCATCAGTTTTGTAAATTAGGGTTGTATGTTACATCTAATGTTGTTAAAATGATGTTTATTGCATTATTTCAGTTTAGTGTTTGTGTGCACCTTCTGTATATGTTTGTATTTAAAAGCTGCTTGTGATTGGCTTTTGGTTCATCATGTGACTTTTTCATCACCACCTGCCTTTGGTGGTTATCAGTGTATTACAAAGGTACAAAAGAGATTTCAGTGCTTCAATAGGTTGGTATATTAACATTATATCAATTGATAAAATTATGGTATTTAAATGTAAATTTAAGTTAAATCCATAAAACCTAAAATGTTGCTACCATATTTTTACGGTAAAATTCTGGTAACCACAGCTGCTGTTTTTTTTACCGTAAATTTACCGGGATTTTTTTTTACAGTGTATGTTTCATAAATTTGGATGGTTTTTGACCAATCATGAGTTATAAATTCAAAGAATTTAATTCAATTCTATTTATTCCAAATTGATTAATACTGGTAAAATTATATGATCTTATAAAATTCAAATATCTTTTTTTTTTTTTCACTCATTATTGAGAAGTTGCCGATCAGATATGATATGGTTTTAGTTGGAAAATATGAAGTTATGATTGTTTTATGTATCAGTTCTTCAGGTCCAGATCGACCCAGAATGTGAAAATAGTCTCGAGATTTTTGAATGTATTATGAGTGTTAATACTGTACTGAGAGACTCTTGTGTTCGAGATCAGATCAGACGAGATCATGAGACTCACAGCGCTGTCGATTCCTAGAGTCAGCAGCATGATGAAGAAGATCACAGCCCACACTGATGAACCCGGCAGTGTAGCAATGGCTTCTGGGTAAATAATGAACACCAGACCAGGACCTGGTGAGACGCAAACAGCAAAGACTCAACACCTCCACATCATACACCGCGGTAAAAACCACAGAGAGTGGCTCTGATGATGCTGTATTAATCTAGAATTGATTAGAATATCACAATCATATCAATTCCAGGTATAACCCAACACACTGTATATTTTTTATATGCATTCACCAAAAAAACATGCATATTACCATTTTCATTTACACAACACCCAAATAATTTTTACATCTATTATGTGTACTATTTTCCATGTGTTAGTTTAATAGTAAAGTGATGCAATAAAACAAGTGGAATTACAAACTCCATCAGGTGGAGAAATAAACACTATGTTTTCCTTCATTATCTGAATTATCTTATACATTTACATTTTAAAAAGAAATTTGTACATATGTAAGCACAATTTTACGCTATTTTTCAAACCATTAGAGGTAGAAAGTTGTGTGTGTGTGTGTGTGTGTGTGTGTGTGTTTGTTTGTTAAGAAATGTATACTTTTATTCATCAAGGATGCATTAAATTGATCAAAAGTGACTAAAGACGCATACAATTGATTTTAAGTGAGTAAAGACATTTATAATGTGATTTCCATTTCAAATAAATCCTGTTCTTCTGAACTTTCTATCAATCTGTGAATCCTGAAAAATAAAATATATCACAGTTTCCACAAAAATATTGTGCAGCACAACTGTTTTCAACATTGATAATAATCAGACATGTTTCTCGAGCAGCAAATCAGCATATTAGAATGATTTCTGAAGATCATGTGACACTGAAGACTGGAGTAATGATGCTGAAAATACAGCTGCGCATCACAGAAATACATTACAGCTTAACAGATATTCACATAGAGCACAGCTGTTTTAAATAGTAATAATATTTCTTAATATTGCAGTTTTTAGGCCTACTGTATTTTTAATCAATTGATGAGAAGAAGAGACTTCTTTCTTTTGAACGGATATTTATCTATAAAATTAATTCCAAATATTTAGGCACAACTCAGCAGATCAAACGGTTTTAAAGATCATAAGAAAACATATATTAGTCATGCATTTTTGACGGCAAATACAAATCAGTCCAACAGAAACAGAAACGTTGCTTAGAATCAGACAAATCGACATGTTTCTGTTCCACTGACATTCTGCATCTCACGCATTATTGATTTTGCTCTCAAATAATTCTCTGTCTCAGACGCTGCTGTTTATAAGAGTCTGTCACGATGAACACCGATCACAGGCTGATCTGAGATCAATCAGAACTTCACATTTACAGACCACATGAAGCACTGAGCATATATTTAAAGCTCTAAAGCTAAATAATATTATTATAATGTAGTATTACTTATATAGTTTAGAATGTATTTTAAATTGATATGAATCAAATTAAATAATTATAATATAAATTAGATATGCATTTGAATGTAAATTATTTAAATGGGGAACAACACTTTATTTTCCCGAAGTAGTTCATGTTGTTCAGCAAAATATAATGGCAACACTTTACAAAATAGTAACATCTGTTAATATTAGTTATCATGAACTATAACTATACTGTTCATTGTTAATTCATGTTTGTTTATAATGCAAGTTAAGTTCAAATGTGTTAGTACATAATAATATGAATATGAATAAATGCTATATTATATGTAATATAAGCTGCACGTTTTCAGTCAAACGACAGGCACACAATAGAAACTCACTCACCATCTGTGGCGACTTTATCTAGAGCCACGTTGTGTTTGTGTGACATGTAACCCAAGAAGGAGAATATGACGAAGCCAGAGAAGAAGCTGGTCAGAGAGTTGATGGAGCTGGTGATGATGGCGTCTCTGTAACACAACATCACTCACTTCAAACATGCAGACGCATCAAAGGGCTTTGAATTCAGTGGTGAAGTGTGAGAAACTGTGTGTGAGTGTGAGTGTGTGTGTCTGTGTGTCTGTGTGTCTGTGTGTCTGTGTGTGAGTGAGTATGTGTGTGTGTGTGTGTGTGTGTGTGTGTGTGTGTGTGTGTGAGATAATTGCAGGAAACTCATTCAGCAGAAAGATGAAAGACACTTGTGAATACAGGGTAATTTAGCAAATTGCTGCTGCACACATGTGTCTAATCTAATTCTGAAATTGCCGCTTTGAGGTCTCTTTGCCAAGTGGTGCTCCGGGAAAGAATCGCAGATCGTGGAAAAACTTACTTAAAGCTGATAGTAACTTCCCCTTCTGCTGCACCACGAGGACATGAGCGATTCTTATGAGATTGATTCATAAACACACACACACACACACACAAGTCTGAATCTGTGCGACTGACTGATCAAAACTCTAATATAAATGTCACAGACTTTAAAAGAGCGATAAACCTTCTGCTGCTCTTTAATGCAATTATACTGCATGTGCATTTAAAGGAGAGTGTTACACATCTCAGCAGGTGTGTGTGTGTGTGTGTGTGTGTGTATATGTGAAAGAGAGA